GCGGGGGCCTTCTTTCGTTGGCGGGCGCCGCCGCTCCGGGGGCATGAGCTCCCGCGCCCCGCGCCGCTTCCGCCGGGCGCCCCGTGCGGCTTCCAGAAATGTTTGATATTTCTTAGGACCAGCAGTTAGCGTAATGGCTATGTCGTTGAACTCCCATGTAGTTGACTGTGGTTCGAGTCCCGGACCCAGTGGCTTAAACTCATGCCGGGTGCGTGTGCATGCGTGCCCAAGATCCCAAGAGGAGAATGGAGGAGAAGGGATCGTGGCGTGGCCATTCCCCCCCTGGGGAATGATTTCTCGCTTTCTATCTCTCTGTCTCTCTCTTTCTGGCGAGTGCAGGCACCCTATAGTATATAAAAAACTCTCCAAAAAAAAGAAATGTTTGATATTTCTTAAGAAAGTTGAACTACTCTATGACCCAGCAATTCCATTCTTATGTCAATATCTGAAACAGTGTTTCTCAAACTGCAATGTACATCAACATTACCTGGAGGATTGGTTAAGCATAGATTGCTAAACTTTTCACCAGAATTTTGGATTCAATAAGTCTAGGCAGGAACCTGAGAATTTGTATCTTTAAGAAGTTCCAGGGGATCCTGATGCTATTGCTCTAGGGACTACTCTTGAAGAACCATTGCTATAAAGGAAACATTTGCACACATATATCAGGACATGTGTAAGAATATTAATGTAGTCTTAATAGCCAAAAAAAAAAAAACTTAAATATCCTTGAACAGTAAGTTGAGTAAATGGTGGCATAATCAAATAATGAGATATCATATAGGATTATATAGATATAAAAAAATGAGATCAAGGAGTGGCATAATGGCCTTACACGTTATCAGTGATGTTCTGTTTTTTTTAACCAGGCAGATATTTCATGGGTATTCTAATTATTCTTTTTTTTTGGGGGGGGGGGTAGGTTTTCGCTATAGGGTGTGTGCGCTCGCCAGACAGAGAGAGACAGAGAGACAGAAAGCGAGAAATCACCCCCCAGAGGGGATGGTCACGCCGCAGTCCCTTCTCCTCCATTCTCCTCTCGGGGTCTTGGGCACGCATGCACATGCGCCCGGCGTTGAGTTTAAGCCACCGGGTCCGGGACGCGAACTGCGGTCAACTACGTGGGAGTCCAGCGACATAGCCATTACGCTAACTGCCGGTTCCCTATGGGTATTCTAATTATTCTTTAAGCATACATATATTCTGCATATTGTTATACTGTGTCTCTCTAGTTACCATCTACTCGTCCTTTTGTCAGTCTGGCCTTACACAGAATATGTCCAAACATTTCAAGACTTGAGTAAGGGACCAGCAGTTAGCGTAATGGCTATGTCGCTGGACTCCCACATAGTCGACTGTGGTTCGGGTTCTGGACCCGGTGGCTTAAATTCACACCAGGCGCGTGTGTGTGCGTGCCTAAGAACCCGAGAGGAGAATGGAGCAGGGATTGCAGCATGGCCATCCCCTCTGGGGGGTGACTTCTCGCTTTCTGTCTCTCTCTGTCTGTCTGGTGAGCTCACGTGCCCTATAGCAAAAACCTCTCCAAAAAAAAAAAAAATGACTTGAGTAAAAGGGGACATTATTGAGTGTTGTATCTTTAGTGCCTCTAACACTCAGACACCACTACCCAGACCCTCCTCAGTTGCTTTGAGCCATTGCTCAAGATATTTTTACACCCTCAAGTAGCCTTTCCTGCCAACTCTGCACTGTGTGTACAAGATGGCAGCCCCCATGCTGAACAGGAGGCTGAGGTGACTACTTAGTCTTTTTGCCTTCAGAGGTGCCCACAGACTGCAGGTTCCTATATAGACTCTGTAACAAGCCCCTCTGAGATAGCCTTTGCCCCCCAGTTCCCATTTCAACTTATGAAGGTGAACCCTTGAAATATATGTACTCAGAAGAATACCAGAACCCCTGTGGTTCTCGTCCTGTCTGGACTGACTACCATCACAACCACAAAGGTAATATACCCCCACAGCAGACTTGAAAGATGTGCTTTAGAGGGACAAGTTGCTGGGAATCCCTGCCCCACCTGCCAAGATCACAAGTTGCACATCGACTTTAGGAACGTGAAGCTGCGGGAGGACTTTGTGCCCACACCAGGGTCATCTTCCATGCTCCATATACAGGGGTCCGTATGAAACAACACAAGAGTTGACCCAGGCCATCCAGAAAGCCAGGGATCAGTCTCCTCAGTTTCCACATTGCCAGGTTGAACCCCAGGACCTTGACTTCAGTACTTCTCATGGAACTGTGAGTGCTACTCCACCGGCCCCCACCCTGGTTTCAGGTGACCTCTGGTACCAGCTGGAAGCAGTCACCAGAGAGAACTGTTCTGCCTTCGCCAGCTCTGTCAGGACCATCTCCGAGAGGAGTGACCCCACACCACCAGCTGAAACCTCCTCTCCTGAGCATATGGGTCAGAGTGTCCTGTAAGAACGTAGACAGGGAAGGGAGCCTAAGGATTAGGAGATAGAGCCTAGGACGGGATGTTACCCTCGAGAGTTGTGTGTTTTGTGACCAGTGGCAGACTCGGGAAGAAAATGGTTGTTAAATACAACTGAGACTGAGAGAGGTCAGTATAGATACATATGGGAGACCCCCAACCCCTAAATACTGTAAACAGATGGCCTAAATATTGTCTGCTGTCTCAGACTTCTGCCAACTCAGCTCTTCCACAATAAAGTTGTACCTCCTGTCAAAAAAAAAAAAAAGTACTTTTACACCCTCATGAAATCCTAATCACTATTCTATGACTAGAGGCCTCAAAATCAACATCTAAAATTGAATTCAAGACGGAATGCATGATCTGGAAGACATGCTATATTAAAAACTCTTTCTGGAGACCAGCAGGTGGCATGGAAGTTCAGGTGGCTGAATCCCACATAGCCAACTCCAGTTTGAATCCCAGACTCGGCTTAAAAATCATGCCAGGCACATGTATGTGCCTGAGAGGACAATGGAGAGAAAGAGTGGTGTAACCATTCCCCCGGGGACTTTCCTTCTCTCTCTCTCTCTCTCTCTCTACTTCTCTCCAGAGAGCACATGTGTCTATAGCAAAAAATAAAATAAAAAATCTAAACTAGGGCCAGCAGTGGCATGGTGGTTAAGGCACCGGATTCCTACACGGCCGACTGGTTCAAGTCCCAGACCCAGCAGCTTAAAACTCATACCAGGCGAGTGTGCATGCATACCCAAAATCCTAAGAGAATAGAGAAAGGACTGTGGCATGGCCATCGAATCTGGGAGATTTCTTGTCTTCTCACTCTCCATCTTACTCAGTCTCTCTGGCAAGCACATAGGCCCTATAACAAAAATACTCTCTTGAAAAAAAAAAAAAAAACTAAACTAAAAAAACCTCTCTGGCTACTACAAGTTACTTGTTGCAGCCCAAGAGTGTTCTTGGTACTGTAACACTGGTCACTCAAACTGATTTTATCTTTTCTTAGATTCCTGACAATTTTCATACATGATGTTGAACATATACCTGAAAAAGGTAGTCTTTTGGTCCAAAAGAACGGACTTCAAGATTTAATCTTGTTAGACCCAGCCTTTATAACTTCTCTAGATGGATGACAGAAGACAAATAAATCTGACTGACTTATTCTGTAATCCAGTCTCTGAGGTGTACTCTGCAGCTTCCATTCTTTATCAAATTAATGTGTCATCTGGGGGGTCAGCAGATGGCATAATGGCTACATTGCTGGACTCCCATGTAATCGACCACTGTTCGAGTCCCGGACCCAGTGGCTTAAACTCACGCAGAGCACACATGCGTGTGTGCCCAAGATCCCAAGAGAATAGAGGAGACGGAATTGCAGCATGGCCATCCCCCGGGGGAGTGATTTCTTGCTTTCTGTCTCTCAGTCTGTCTTTATGACGAGTGCATGCACCCTATAGCAAAAACCTCTCCAAAAAAAAAAAAAAAAACCCCCCCAAAAAAAAAAAAAAAAAAAAACTTAATGAGTCATCAATGACAATCAAGTAACTGATAAAGAACTGGATCAAGCACAGATGTGAGTCATATAATTGTAAGTCTTCCAAATTTATCTGTATACATTAATGTATTATAGTCACTCAATTGGTCATTCTCACTCATATTTCATTTTTCCATAAGAATATTAAGAAAAACTGGGAACCAGCAGTTAGCGTAATGGCTATGTCGCTGGACTCCCACGTAGTCGACCACAGTTTGCGTCTCAGACCCAGTGGCTTAAAACTCACGCTGGGCGCGTGTGCGTGTGTGCCCAAGATCCCAAGAGGAGAATGGAGGAAAAGGGACTGCGGCATGACCATCCCCCCGGGGGGTGATTTCTCATTTTCTGTCTCTATGTCTCTCTCTGTCTGTCTGGCGAGCGCACATGCCCTATAGTGAAAACCTCTCAAAAAAAAAAAGAATATTAAGAAAAACACTCATAAAATGTATCATTGGCATCAACAGAAACTAAATACCTAGCTCTCTGGTCTTTCAGCCTGGCAACGCTACTACAATAGCGTTACTCATAATCTTGGACCATGAAAGGACCACCTCAAGGGATGACAGAATGAGAAAATGGAAGGAAACTGGCCTCCAGCAACTTTGTAGAGCTGCCATTCCTGTCTCAATCTATCTACTGCCAGAATTTTCTTAACTTGGACAGAAGAATACCATTCCAATGGATTAAACCAATAGATTCAAGTGATCCTAAAACCAAGAATCTAATCTTGGAGCGAATGAAGCAGACCAACTTCAGGGTATTTTTTTTTTTCCAAACAAATTTAATTCCATTCCAGCCCCAAAGAAGGGGAAGAACCTAAATTTTAAAAATAAAAATTGCTCAAAAAACAAGCCATTAAAAAATTAAGCCCCCTCCCTTACAATAAATATTGAACTGATATATACATCTGAGGCTCAGGAAGGAGGCAAGTACAGGAACCTTGGGGACTCTGTCCCAAGGCAAGATCCTGATACGTCTACCAATTCCATGCTCTTTGCTTAAAACACAGAGAGCAGTGAAAGAGGTAGGAGAGATATACAATGGGAGTGTATGGCCTTGGACAGAGCTGGAACGAGTCGATGGGTGAGAGAAGAGAGACACAAATTGTCTTACAGGGCAGGGAAAGGGGAACTCTTCATTTAAAACACCACTCCTCCATCTCAGTTGAGTCACTGGATGTGTGGCTGGTCCAGCTGCCAAGCGCCCTGAGCTTATCTCCTTGCCTCTACTCCCTCTTTAGCATGCAAGGCAGGGAAGGTCATTCACACTGTGGCCGCGATGCCACGGTGGCGGCAGCCTGGCTGCTGGAGCCTTGAGGCTTCCCATTCACCACTAGCAGGAGCGGCGTCTCCACACGAACACTGGAAAATGAATAGTCCTAGAAAAGACACACAGGCAGAAGTTCATTAGAGATCCTAAAATGAAAAAAACTCCAGCAGGGGAAGATACCATCTGTGACTCTCCTCTACCCCATGTATACGTGTACCTCTTATCTCCACCTCATAATAGACAAAAGTGAGCTAGCAAAGGGGAAGGACTTTTCCCTAAGTTTTCAATCTTCAGAAGGAAGATCTGGGACAGGAAGGATACTAGTAGTGTCATTACAAGAATGAGACAGTTCTCTGATTCACAAAAGGATGCTACCAGTTTTCACAGAATCTGCCTTTTCCAGTGTTTCTTGACAATTAACTAGATATGCATAGCACCAGACAGAGTCGGTGTGAAAATCTAAGAAACTCTTAGTCCAAGTGTTTGTAAGGCCCTAAATTAATCTGCCAAAATGAAGTTATTTTTCTCTTTTACAGAGAAGAAAGGAAACAGAATGTGCAACACAATGTAGCAATTTTCCTAATAACAAAAAAGATTAGCAGTGAGTTTACCAGCTGGAATGTATTTAAGTTGCAAAATATTTTGAAAGATCTTCCATCCAAAAATATTGTTCCACTAGGAGGGAGAAGGAGGTTCTTTTAAGCAGAAAATAAAGAGTTCTCATAAGATAATTTTTTAAAGCTCCGAATAGGAACATAGGCAAGTGACAAAAAAGACGATTTAAGGGGCCAGCAGGTGGTGTGGTAATTGAGGCACTGGAATTCCCAAATGGCCGACCATGGTTTGAGTCCTGGGTGGCTTGCTTGCTCACTCACTCTCCCCCGCCCCCCGGCAAAACTCATGTGAAAAACAATAATAATAATAAATAAATAAAATAAATAACTCTTTTAAAAAAAAAAAAAAGATAAAGCCAGCAGGTGGTATAGTGGTTAAGGCACTAGACTCCCACATGACCAACCATGGTTTGAGTCTTGGACCTGGCAGCTTCAAACTCATCAGGCACATGTGTATGCATGTCCAACTCAGGGGTAGAATGGAGGAGGGACTGTAGCATGGCCATCCCCTCTAGGGGAGACTCTCTGACTTTCCCTCTCCCTATCTCTCTTCTGTCTCTCTCTGGCAAACGCACACAGTCTATAGCAAAACCTTAAAAATAAATAAGAAAATAAATAAAAAGCCAACAAACCTAAGAAACCAATTATAACAGGACTGAAGCTATATTTTTCATGTAAAATTGGCAAATTATTTTTTAAAGGTTTCTACCCAGAGTTGAAAACTACAGGGAAATAATTATGTTCACTGTTGGTAATAAAAACTAACTGGTACAGGGCCTGCAGGAGGCGTGGAGGTTAAGGCACTATATCCCATATGGTTGACTACGAGGTTCAAGTCCTATACCTGGTGGCTTGAAAATCACACCAGGTGTGTGTGCATGTGTCCCCAAAGTTCCAAGAGACAGGAGGAAAAAGTACTGGGACATGGGCCATCTCCCTGCGGAGTGATTTCACACTTTGTCTCTCTCTCTCTCTCTTTCTCTCTCTCTCTGTTTCTGGTGAGCACACATTCTCTAAAACAAAACCTTAGAAAAAAAAACTAACTGGTAAAATCTTTCAAAAAATAATTTGGCAATATACATCAAAAGCTTTAGAATTCTGTATTCCCTTTTGACCTAGTACTTCACATTAGAAATTCATTTAAGGACATAACATGGATACAGGCAAAAATATTCACTATAGTACTTTTATAATAGGGAAAAATTAGAAATAATCTAGATGTAGGTTGATCAAACTTTTTCTGTAAAGGGCCAGACAGCAAATATTTTAAGCTTTATGGGTCCTTTGGTCTCTGTTACAGAATAATTCACCTCTGACACTGTAGTGCAGAAGTAGCCACAGATAAGGGTAAAAAATTAATGTTGCAGTGGTCCAATAAAACATTATTTATGAACACTAAAATTTGAATTTCTAGGGACCAGCAGTTAGCGTAATGGCTATGTCGCTGGATTCCCATGTAGTCAACCGCGGTTCGCGTCCTGGACCTGTTGGCTTTAAACTCACGCCGGGCACATGTGCATGTGTGCCCAAGATCCCGAGAGGAGAATGGAGAAGGGATTGTGGTGTGGCCATCCCCCCGGGGGGTGATTTCTCACTTTCTGTCTCTCTGTCTCTGTCTGTCTGGCGAGTGCACGCACTCTATGGCAAAAACCTCTCCAAAAAAAAATCTTAAAAAAAAAAATTTGAATTTCTATGTATCATGAAATAATATTTTTCAGTTTTTTTCATTTACATACAGGTAAACCACTTTTAGCTCACAGGCCATACAAAAACAGTGAGGGGTCAGCAGGTAGTATGGTGGTTAAGGTACTGGACTCCCACATAGCTGACTGTGGTTTGAATCTTGAACCTGGAGACTTGCTTTCTCACTTTCCTTTTCTCTCTTTCTGTCTCTCTCTGGTCAAATTAAAAAGTAAATAAAATAGAATAAATAATTATATAATAAATAATAATTTTATAAATAATTTTAAAATAACAGACAGCAAAATTTTCTCAATGGTCCATAATTTTTTAACCACTGATCTAAATGGTAAAAAAAGGGGAACCAGCAGTTAGCGTAATGGCTATGTCGCTGGACTCCCACGTAGTCGACCGCGGTACGCGTCCCGGACCCGATGGCTTAAAACTCATGCCGGGTGCATGTGCGTGCATGCCCAAGATCCCGAGAGGAGAATGGAGGAGAAGGGATTGCGGCGTGACCATCCCTCCTGGGGGGTGATTTCTCACTTTCTGTCTCTATGTCTCTCTCTGTCTGGTGAGCACGCGCCCTATAACAAAAACCTCTCCAAAAAAATAAATAAATAAATGGTAAAAAAAAAAGTAGTAAAATATGTACTCTTACAAGATCTTTGTAAGAATTTTTAGTGAGGCAATGTAGGCTGTAAAACTCAGCACAGTGTCAAATGTTCAGTTCAGTGTTCAATAAATGTAAACTACCATCACCACATTCATAACTACTACTAGGTGTCAATTCAAAACAATGTGGTAGAATACATAAAAACATGAGAAACATTCACAAATATTTGTATATATTATCTCACTCGTGATTAAAAATATCCACGAGGGTCAGCCAGTGGCATAGTGAAAGCAGCTAAATTCTACAAGGCCCGCTGCACATTCTGAGTTACTGATCTAGTGGCTTGAAAACACTCTGGGTACGTGTGTGTGTATGTTTTAAGTCCTGAGAGATGGGACAGATGGAAGAGAGGGGATTACAGCGTAACCACTCCCTTGGTAGGTGCTTTCTTATTCTCTCTCTCTCTATGTGTGTGTGTGTGTGTGTGTGTGTGTGTGTGTGTGTGTATCTGTCTCCAGCAAGCACGCATGCCCTCTAATAAATTTTTTAAACACACACACACAAATATGTGTGCATTTATCTATGAAAAGGAAAAAGATTAGAGATAATGTACACCAAACTGTCAATAGTAGTGGTATTTAAGTAATAACATTTCAGAGCTTATTTTTTATTTCTCTTTGCTTAGCAGTTTCCTTTTTTAGTAAAACAAAAAAAGGGTGTGTAGGGGCCAGCAGATGGCATAGTAGTTAAGGTGCCGGACTCCTACATGGCCAACCACAGTTTAAGTCTCAGACCTGGCGGCTTGCTTTCTCACTTTCCCTCTCTCTCTGTCTCTCTCAGGTGAGTGCACATGTCCTGTAGCAAATTTTAAAATAATAATAATAATAGTGATGATGATAAATAAGGGGCCAGCAGGTGGTGTGGTGATTAAGGCACTGGACTCTCACATGGTTGACCATGGTTTGAGTCCTGGACCTGCTTTCTCACTGTCCCTCTGTCTTTATTTTTTAATCTGCCCCTCTCTGGTCAGATTAAAAAATAATAAACAAGTAACTCTTTTTTAAAAAAGATAAATAAAATTAAATATTTTATATGTATAAAATATACTTTTATAAATATATTACATACACAAACACAGACACATACACATTACTTTTATACCTATTTTATACAGAGATAAACTTGCCTCCACTTTCAGAGCCTTTGAGTTAGAAAAGAATGCTAGCCATAACTTACCTTTCCCTTGTGCTTAATTTGGTGAAGCCGAAGGTTGGGCTCAGGGATGGCTACAGAGTCCCCAATGAGCACTCCCCAGCTCTGTACCATATTATACACCATCACTGCATAGCAGGGTCCATCTGAATCTACCAGCCCAAAGGTACTGCCAGGTTAAGAAAGGTTAGAAGAAGAAAAAGGTATGTGGTCAGGAAAAAAGAACTGTAACTTTAAAATACTAGTAAAATGAATAAATGTTTTCTCTTATTTACTTAGAAAATCTATGATGGGTACCATGATACACTATGTACATGTGAGTCCGCATTTGCCTTAAATAGTGTATAGCTTTAGAAAACATGCACAAGACTCATCATCTTTCACATAGCCAGGAACTAAGGACACGTGCACACTGAGACCATTTAACAAATATTAATGATGAACTTGAGTGAAATTTAGTAGCTGACATGTTCCTGGCCTATCAACTATACCAATCACACCTGTAAGCAAACCCTCTAACCGTCACTTCAATTTAGTTTAAGTCTGTAAACTTTCACAGAATTATGTATGTGTAAAGCATTGTGCTTAACAGTAAGAGACCATCCTCTAGCAAAATAAGGCAATAAAAGCATTGTCTACAGTATAATGTGATGGGTGCTAACGTAGCTTTCCTCTTGTGCTGCTGTGTGAATTCAGTGAAGCCCCAGGACAGGCAGTGGGAACTCAGAGAAATCTAACTCAAAATTGGAAAGCAAGGGTTTCCTTGAGGAGGTGATCCTCAAAGTGAATCTTAGGAATGAAAAATCAGCTGGGTTAAATCAGGAAAACTGGAACCAACAGATGGCATAATAGTTATGTCATTGGACTCTCATGTGATCAACCATTTTTGAGTCCCAATACGCTGGGGAATGTGTGCACGAGCCAAAATCCCAGGAGAGGGAACCAACAGTTAGCGTAATGGCTATGTCGCTGGATTCCCACGTAGTCGACCGTGTTTCGTGTCCCAGACCCAGTGGCTTAAAACTCACGCTGGGCGCGTGTGCGTGCGTGCCCAAGATCCCAAGAGGAGAATGGAAGAGAAGGGATTGCAGTGTGACCATCCCCCCTGGGGGGTGATTTCTCGCTTTCTGTCTCTCTGTCTTTCTCTGTCTGTCTGGCGAGCGCACGCGCCCTATAACAGAAAAAAAAAAAAACCCAGGAGAAAGGACTGCGACATGGCCGTCCCCCCTGGGGAGTGATTTCTCACTTTCTGTCTCTCTGGTAAGCATACATGTGGTATAGCAAAAGTATTTCTAAAGAAAAGGAAAAATAAAACTAGGGGCTGGATGGTGGTAAAAAACAACAACACTCTGTGAGAGTTGCAAACCTTTCTTGTGCCCATAATCCAGCAGCTAGAGACCCTGTCAGGAGTACTGTATTTCTGTCTCTCTCATTCATGGAATAAATAAATAAGCTTGAAAAAAAAAAACAGAAAAATTAATCTTCCATAGCAATAAATCATCTGGGAGATGGGAATGAAGACTAACCTAGAAGCAGCATAAAGAAATGTCCTGGGGGACTGGCAGGGGGTGTGGGGGTTAAGGCGCCGGGCACGCACCCACAGCGGACC